GACCCGCCCGGGAGCCTGCCGTGCGTCTGCCTCCCGCTCTGCCGCTCTCCCCGGCCGCTCCACGCTCTGTCCCTTCTTCATGGCTTTAAAAATGTTAAATAATTGTTGTAAGTTTGCTATTATATGTTGACTTAGCGCTGGAAAATAAATTGTCTATGATAAACAGTCGTTGTGTTCTCAGCCCACCCACATTAATTAAAATTTCATTGCTGAAAAACTCCAAGCTTTTCCCTCCACGTGTCTTTTTGATACCAGCCAATCGGTTTCGGGGCTATTCCTTCATTTGTTTATAGAATTAGTCTGTTGATAAGTCCGCCCACCCAAGTTGAATCAAGCTGTGTTTATTTGGAAAAATTTCCGGGCACCCAATATATAAACGCACTGATCTGATGTTTGAAATATCACGTCCACCCCTTGACGCTGTGAGCACACACAGTCAGCGAGGCAGGATGTGGGCCCCGGTGCCTGGGAGCGGGGTCTTCGGGGCCAGGAAAGAGAGGTGGGGATGGGGGGCGGAGCGCAGGGGTGAGTTTTACCCCTGACCTGGGGAAGCCCCCCCCAACAGCCCGGCCTCCCACAAAAGATCTTTTCTTCTCCCAGGCTTCGTAGGAGGTGTAGAGATGGCACAGTCTCACCGGATGCCTTCCTAGATCTTTGCAAGCTTTTACATCTGTTGTGCGGAGAGGCGGCTCCATCAGAGAGGTTTGGGAGTCTGATGATCCTGGGCTTGCCCCCGCGGAACCATGGCCCTCCTAGGGGCTAGTATCCCAGAGGCAGCAAGCCTTGACCTGCAGGGCTCCTGGGGACCCACGCCTATGGTGCCAGGGAGCTGGGTAGGGCGTGGGTTACCTGATCCACAGCTCAGTTGAGGGAGGTTTCAAAATAAATCCGATTGGAAAGTTCAGGGGGAGAAACTAAGGTCTTTCTAATGGGGCTGAGGTTGCAAGCAAGAAAGACCATAAAAGGGGAATTTGGCAGCTGGCTGGGGAGAGCTGGTATTTGTGAATGCGGGTCCCTTGCTTTATATTCTGCGCTTTCCTGTTTATAACAAGGAGGGGGTTATAACAACTTTACAAGTGCACGCAGCTGGCCCATGATTACATTAAGCATTTGGAAAGCCGGCTTGGTCTCCCCCACCCACCCACTCACTCTGGGGTTCAAGTGCACCCCCCCATGCATTTTATATTCAGCCACGTCAGAGTTTGAATCAAAAGCCATGGATGATGCTGATTCAGTTGGAGGTGTCCTGCCCTCACTCCACCGCTTTGGAGGGAGGGGGGCAGGTAGCGTGACTAGTTCTTGTTTATGATCTCTGATGAATATTTTTTAAAGGAGGAAAAAAAAACACCAGCATTCCGGATAACTGAATTGGCATTCCATTGAGTAAATGGGCTGCCGATGCCAAAGAGAAGAGGGAGGAGTTGGGGGGGGGGCATAGAAATTGCCCAGGACTGGCTCCCACCCTGGATGGGGAGAGAGGGACTCGAGGTGCATTGGGGGGCGAGGGGGCCTGCCACTGCTGTTGTCAGAGGCGACACCATGCTGCAGGCTGGTTTCGAGCACTCAGGAGAATCTCCCCCCAAAATGGGGAGTCCAGAAGTTTGGGGGTTCCGGATAGCCATGGGAGAGCGAATACGTTTGAAATACCGAAAAGGACGCGGCAATCAGGGTGGAAAGACCGGTTTGGGTGCAGGCGCGGCTTGACGGAGTGCCAGGCCAGGCCCTGGGACACACCTCCGAGCCTCCGAGCCTCCGTCCAGGGCGCCGCATTTCTAACCTGGGGCAACCTTTGGGGCCTGGCCTCCCCGGGCCTAGGTCCTGAGGGTGGCCCTCTTGCCTGGAGGGGGCGGGGCGCTGTCCTCTCTCTGGATCTCTGGCTCTTACCTGAACACTCCTTTCAACCCTGGAGCGAAAAAAGAGCCTCAGTGCCGCGCTTTTGCAACCCTCGGTCCCACAGTCCCGGGGGGTCCCCAACCTCTCCAAGATCAGCGCGCCCAGCGCTGGGGTCCAGCTCGGTTTCCAGCCTCTGGATCGCTGGCTCTAACAGACCCAGAACAAAAGATAAACTGGTGCCATCCGCACCCCCAACCCCACCCCCACCTCCGCACCCAGAGCCCTTCACGGAGCTACCCAGGCACCGGCGTCCAGCACGCACATCCCTGCCTCTCCGAAAGGCGCGCCGCAGCGAGGCTTCTTCTAAACTCTAAGGCACATCCGAGCTTGAATTCGTACAATAATAAACACCACCGAATTTGGGCATGGGCCGGACGCAGGCGGAGACACGCGCGTCTGGTGGGCGGGTCACTGATAGTAAAGGGGGAAAAAGAAAAATCCGAGTTCTAGTCGCGGGCTGGAGACGCACCTCCAGCCCCGCGTATTTGTTGAAGTTTGCAGTGTTTCCCAGAGCTTGCAGCCGTAGAACTCTGGCCTGGCGCCCCAACCCGGCTCCCCCGCGGAGAGGAATCCTGGCCTCCCAGGTGAAGAGCTTTTGTAACTGCGAAAGGAAGGACCGCGCTGGAGCGAATTTCCGGGGAGCGCATGGCATAAGCCTTAAAGTCTGAGAGCGGATGCGCCCTCGTGCGGAAGCTCTGTGGGTTGGGACCCAGCGAGCCGGGGCCCAGCGGCAGGGGCCAGGGAAGAGGAGGAATGGGGGGAGGGGGGAGGGGAGGTAGCAGAGCCCGGGAGACAGCCGGGCAGAGTGGGAGTCCCAGAAAGCCGGGTGGACACACTGAAAGTTCCCTGTGGGGTCTTAAGTCTTCAGATCCCAGAAAAGAGCATTCATGTCTGAAGTCAGTGCGAGCACCACTACCAGCCTCAGGAAAGCCCTGAGATGCCCTGATATTTCCGAAGGACCACAGCAATTCCAACTCTGGGGCCCAAGCAGAAACCAGGTTCAGCGTGTGGGAGGGTCCACAGTCTCCGTCCCAGTCCAGTCCCCACCTGTTGAGAGAAAGCCTTCTCCTTGGGCAGGCTAGGCAGAGGCCAGGCGCCAACCTGGACCAAAGAGTCCAAAGGGGAGAGAGGAGCTCCAATCACTGCCCGCTCAGTACCGGGCATCTCCCTTTCCTCTGCCCCACCAGTAAATTAAAAAGCGGAGTCACGTTAATGATGATCTGTGTTATCGCTCCAAATATGTGCATCACTTTCTAAGTGTGAAGACAGATAGCAAGTATATGTGTGTGTGTTTATATGTATGTGTATATATGTATAATTGATTCTACCATATGTGAATTATGTTTGAGAAGAGTGAGGTGGAAAGATGTAGGACTTACTTAGCCAGGTCACCTTACTGACATCCTGAAAACACTGGAGAAGATGATGATTGAAAGAATACTATTAATAACTAAAATGCACTGGAGGCTATTATATGCTGGCACTGTTCTGAGTGCTTTCCTGTGTTAGGTCATTCATTCCTCACAGCAACCCTAAGAAGCAGAAACCTGCACCGTTCCCATTCTGCAGACCTAGAACCCAAGGCCAAGTCCTCCTGGAGGAAGGGTTGCAAAGCCAGGGAAACAATTGCATGATAGTGGTCGTTGTGGGTGGCTGCTGAGGGCCCTGTGGCAGTTCTCTTGAGAACCCTTGCAGCATCTATGAAAGACGGGGGGCTGACCCATTTCACAGACGATGAAACTGAGGCTGGGCACAGAACACCCCCAAGGCATTGTAGGTAGTAAGCAGCAGGACAGGGATCAGAACCCACACTTTCTCCTCCAAAGGAAGGCTCTCTGAGGTCTGACAACCTCAGGTGTCCACAGAAGCTCCAAGAGATGTGCCTGGAGTAAGCAAAATGAGGGGACCCTCCAGAGAGGGGAGGTACGCAGCACCACCAGAGCCGGGAGATTTGGGGCATTATAAGCAGGAACCCAAGCATCCTCACTTTTATCCTACTAAAACCCAGAAGCCCCTGCTCCCCTCCCCTCCTCTCCCATTCTGAAGGGACTGGGGAGCAGGGTCTTTGCTGCTTCTCAGCAGTGGGGGGTAGCCGGTCGGGACTGAGGTACCCCTTGGCTGGTCAGCTGATGCTGAGTGAAACCCAAGGAGCAGGGTGAGATTTTCCTAATGATTGATTGTTTCGAGCCCACCTTGTTCCCCCAAAGGATTTAAAGGGTCTAAAAGGGGGCAGTTAGGGCACACACTGCCCTGCCCAAGCAGTTTATCCTGATACACAGAGTTCATTGAGACCACAGATCCCATCTCTTCTCTTTCCAGGTAAATCCTAACATCTAACAGTGTGTCCTTACTATGGGCTGGGCCCTGTTGAAGCACTTTCATGTTATGTGTTGGATTCATTAATCTTCCCAACAGCCTTATCTGATGAGCCCATCATTTTCCAGTTGGGAAACAAGCCCAGAGAGCCAGAGGTAGTATGCCCGCCCGGGGTCACATGAACCCTCCGCTGGTCCTGCAGAGGGCCCGAGCTGGTGCCTGTGGGCTCAGCTCAGAGCGAAAGGCTCTGCTGGGGAGTCCGCCTGCAAGAATAACACGAAGGCAGAGAGAGCCAGAGGGGAAAGGAAGGCCCAGGCCCCAGGGCCACGAAGTCAGGGGTCAGAGGAGTCTCTCTGGCCTTCCCGACCTCCCAGCCTGGGTGGCCAAAGATTGAGCACAAAGCTATACCCCAGGCTCAAGAGGCCAGGGACCGCCCTCCCATGCTCCCCAACTCCATTCCCTTCGGGGACGTACAATGCCAGCAAGCCCATCAACCTGTCAACCCACCCCCTGCCCTCCACTTCAGCTTTTCACAGCCTCACAGCCCCAGGATGAAGTCCCCACAAGCCTGACGCTGGGAAACCCATAGCACCAGAGAGACACATTCGAGAACCTAACTCTACACCAGCGATGCCCCTCTGCCTTTGCTGCACAGCAGGCATGTTGCAAAAGCAAGAGGAAGGCTTGCACCAGTCCAGGCGGTGGCGTCTTCCCAGGCACAGTGGCCGCCGTCCCTGACTGTGGCTGCCCGGCCTTCCAAGCGCCCTACAACATTCCACCCCCTTCCTCACATGCCTGTGTCAAAAAGCAAACATTTCCAACGCCTTGGTGAGCTGAGGCCACGCAAGAAACAGGCAGGCAGGGAATGCTCCTCAAAGTTTGGGAAAGCATTTCAAGTATGTGGTGCAGGAAGTCACTGGTGGCTCCAACCCAGCGTGTCCTGCTCACCTGGAGTCCAGCCCCCAGCCGTCCCTGGCCAGGCTGACACCACACCACAAACCCTCAGCTCACTACCTGTCCATTTCCACCACACTGAGAGCCACGATGGTGCTGTCCAGGGATGAGCCCCACACACATTCCGCGAGGTGCCGGGCACAGGCTCTGAGACCCCAGCATGCTCTCAAGAAACATAGTTCTGTGCATTAATCAAGGTGTCTTTTCTCAGTAAATTCTCACCGGGCCAACCTTGCCCAGAACGCTGTCCGGTTTGTGTTTGGATTGGGGATGGGGAGAGGAGTGAGGAGGCAAGTGCTCAGCCACCTCGGCTTGTTTTTTCCAAGGGGGACCTGGGAACTCTGCTCTCCGTGCTTTGAGTGCAGCTCACAAGCCTCTCCCAGGCCCGAGGTGACCCCCAGGCAGTCTTGGGGTGGAGAGGAGGAGATGGACCCCGAAAGATTTATGAGCCAAGTGCTGAAGTTCCCAGGACCCTGTGTTTTCTTCCCTCCAACATCGGATCTTCAGTTCTGGCTGGCAGGGAAGGGGAGAGGGGATAATTGAGGACCCAGGCAGGAGCCCCAGCAGCCGGGAGGGAAAGTGCTGGGCTGCCCCGAATGCCCTTGCACTCACCTGGTCAGGCTACAGATGAGCAGACCCAGGCCAGGGAGGGGGAAGCCGCCTGTTCACAGAGCGAGATGTGGCCTTCCGGTTCCTAGCCCAGCGCTCCAGCTTCCAGGATGGACGGCAACCCTGATTTTGGTTACAGGGACAGGCAGCTTGAACCAGGGCAGGGAGGTCCAGCCAGCCACCAACCCCAGCCAGGCCTTGGGAGAGAGGTCCAGGTGGCGGCACACCCGCAGTCCTTTCTCCCTGAAAGGTGAGGTTGGGCATCTCTCCAAGTCTTACTCGAAGCAGAAGCCACTCCGGCTGCCGGCTGCCGCCTCTCTGGGCCTGGGAGCGTTCAGGGGGCTCAGAGGCCTCGGGGTCTCTCCAGCAGCCCGTGTCTGTCTGAACTGTTCAGAGACACAGTCCACCCCGCCGAGGCCAGTGCGAGACACAGGCTCAACGTCAAGGGACATGGTTTCTGCCGTGGTCTTTGGCTGCGTCCATGTCATGTGCAGTATCTCTGAGACCTGCGGGACTGCATCTTATTAGGTCACGAAGGAACACAGTTACCAGCATGGCTTCATGCAAACTGCATTCTGGTGGACCACGGACCACAAAGCCCTGAGGCCCAGCGGCCTGCATGGACTTTCAGGCCCGTCCACCCTGGATTCCTGTTCCCCTTTCTGGACAGGCCCTGGGCCTCGGGAGGGAGGACGGAGGACCGACTGGCTGAAGGAAGGGGCAGCAAGTGGATCTGAGAAGCAGACAGCCTGGCCCAGCACGCAGTCTTTGTGCCCAGGCAGTTGACCGGCAGGGTGCTGAAGATGACCAAAAGCAGCCCAGCGGGTGCCTGGACGCCTGCTGCTCAAGGTGTCATGCTTGTGCTTCAGGATCTTACTACTCTGCCAGCCGCCAGACGCCCCGAGCCCCCAGGTCCACGTCGGGGCATAAAGGCTGAGCTGAGCCAGCTCTGAGCTCAGTGTCCAGCGCATGGGTCAGCCTCTGGCACCCACACCTATCTTGGCCCCTAGGGTTTCAGACTGAGGGATCCCAGGGTGACCCTCCACCCCCAAGCCCTCCACACTGCTACCTGGATAAAGCCCTAAACGCAATCCCCCAAGTGGCCCATGTTCCCAAGGGAATGAGGAGCCCCTCACTATGTCCTCCACCCAATTGGGGGCAACCTTCTGGAGAGCTACCCCTCCAGCAAGTGGCCCCACACAGCGGGGGGCCCCACAGCGGGGACTTAAGATGCTTTCCCCAAAGGTAGAAGATCCAGGGCGGTTCAGAGGCTGGGCTGGTCTCTCGCCCAACTCCATCCTATTTCTCTGTCTTGTATTCTCCACATGTCTCTCAGAGCTGCTCTGAGTGCCAAAACTTAAGGTGAGGGTAATCTTTCTGGGAGGACTCTTTGAAACACCTGGGGAGAAAGAAAGCCAGCTAGAATACTCTCCGCTTCTCCTGCGGCCAACAGCATAAAAGAAACAGGAGCAAAATGAAACCAGCGTGCCAGAGCTGGGCAAGGAGCCGGGCTGCCTCTTTCTACAGCTCAGAGTGGGGGTCTCTCTCTCTCTCTCTCTCTCTCTCTCTCTCTGTCTCTCTCTCTCTCATCTCCCTCTCCCCCCACCTGTAGCTGGCTAGTCCAAAGCACTGTGGCCTGAGGGCCTGCCCAGGGCAAGCCTGGAGCACTGGGGCTCCTGTTCCTGCACATTATGAAAAGGAATAAAAGGCAGCGTTTTAACCACATGCCACCTCTGGGGCCACAGACTGGGAGAAGCTGTGTCACATATATGGGGAACATTATTATGAGCAAATGTTCCCCAACCCTATCTCAGCATAACATAGAGACAGAATGCCATGTTTAAAACAACAATCCAGCTCCCAGGTTATGTTCCACGTCACTGCATCAAGGAAAATCTCCTTTTGGGAAATCATCCCGGCTCATAATGTTACTTTTACAGGGAGCTTGGCCCTGGGGGAGGCATAGCTCACCTGCTGGGGTGGGAAACATTCCCCAGTTTGGAGCTCCTGCCTCGAAATTCAGGCACAGAGACCAGCAGGAGAGGTGGCGGGTTTGGGCCAGTGAAATCGATAACAAAACCATGGCCCCTTTGGCCACATCTCACAAAAGTTTTGTTGCTATTAAAAATTTAAAAAAAAGATGAGATATCAAAATTGAAAAGAAAAACAATCTCATTCCTTAAAGTCTGAAAAGGTTGATAAATTTAGAACCCCAAGCATTGGACATTATGTTTGAAGAACAGTGAAGCTGTAAGATTTTTCACTGCAATAGGGTAAGGATTTGGAAATCAAGAAGGAAAGAGATGTGAAATCCGCCTCGGAGCAGGCCGTTTTCTGGATGGTCATTAAACGCCACAGACTCAGTCCCCTTCGGTCTTTCCCTGGCCCAGTTCAAATTCTTCTCCGGAAAAACCATGATAGTGGGTAAGGAAGCCCGCATTTTAGGAAATCCAGGGCATGCAGGGCTCCCCCTGGTTTGTCCTTAGCTAACAGAAAATACGTTTCCTTCCCCCTGCTAATTGGGGAGGGGTGGGCATTCAGATGGAATGGCACTGCTTGTCTTGACAATGGGCCTGTTTTTCTGCATTTAGCAAAATGCAGGACAGCAAATTACATTCCGGCAAGCAGTCCTTCTGGCCGTGTCGCTCTAAGCAGGACCATCCCTGGATGGCCTCGACCAGGTTGAAATCCTGAATTAATAGAAAGCCTTTTTTCTGTCATGAAGACGACAATAGGGACCTACTCCCCTTCTTCTGTGATTGTCTAGATATGCCTGTCTACACGCTTACCCACCTGTGTAACAAAAATGACCCAAACAGGTGGATTCGCAAACCCACCGTGGCTTTGTTTTAAATGCGAGAACACAAACACACTGATTTTGGGGCAGAAAAACAACATGGGTTTATTTTAAGGTACGTACAACAAGTAAGACCACATAAGACAAACACAGGTGACGTTGAAGTTTTTTTTTTCTTTTCTTTTAGGAATGCTCAAGGAGAAATCTACTATACAAAACCATCACACTTTGTAAATAAAAAGTATCAGATACTTGACTTCTTTCTCGGCCAACAGCAACAAAAAAATAAATTATGTTCTTGTTTTGTAAAAGACCTACAACTGGGAAAAGAATTAAGCCTCGTAATTGTACAAGGGGGAAACCCCACATAGGTTTCTATGGATTTTCGATTTGGCAGTTAGAAATGGTTGGGCAAGATGAAAATTATCCAGTGAACTCAACTTTAAATATTATATTAATGGCTCTGAACAACAACAACAACAAAATAGCCTGATTACAAATCCACACATTTGTACAGCACGGTTAGAGAAATTTAAAATTACACACAGCACATACAAAAATCTATAGAGAGCCCCATAAACCTATGGAGGTCTCTACAGAGAGTCATTACTGGGTCGCTATGGGATTTGGTCCATAATTTAATTTTGGAAACCCCGAGTGGAGCAGAGAGCACAGCCATCCTGGTAGGGTAGGGGGGTCTTAATATTCATTTCGTTGGGCTACGTCCCTTCACGGGGGGGCCTCCTCAAGAATCTCAGAAACAGGACGGCGAGTTTAAGTTACCTGCAGCGTCCCCGAGGGAGGGCCGGAGCTGGCGCGCGCTCTGCTCCCGGGTCTGAGAAAACGCTGGCGGCGGTGTCTGGGTTCTCTGCAGGGATGAACTGTCGGAGGGGGTCGCGTCCGCGAGGCGAAGCCGGAGCGGGTCAGTATTTGGTGCAGTCGTAGGAATAGGGGGCGGCGTGGCGGTAGAGGGACGGCGTGGATCTGTAGGGCAGCTGACAGCTCGCGTTGCCGCTCACTTGGGGCTCCCCGAGGGTCGAGTTCTCAATCCCCAGCCGGTGGGAGTTGAACATCTCCCGGACGTTGGGAAAAGTCTGCTGCTGGGCCGCAAACGTGTGGCCGGGGAGGTGGTTGAGGTCCCCGCTGTGGTTGAGATACCAGGAGGCCGCCTGGGCCGCGGCGGCCGCGGGCTGC